GGCACCGCCCCCCCCCCTCTCCCCCAGGTCCGAAGTTGGCCCCAAGCAGTCGGCAGCACAGGCGTGAGAAGACAAAAAGAGTGAGACCCTCAGGGGCGCCTCTGGGAGGCCGATGCCAGCTTCGAAGTTGGGAGGCGGGGGGGGGGGGGGGGGGGGGGGGGGGGGGGCGAACGCGGGGTCGAAGACGAAAGAGTTCCACTTTGTTGTCCCCTTACCGTCCCATGGGGCACCGCCTCGCGGCGGGGAGGGGAGGGCGCGCCCTCGGGAGCGGGGCCGCCACCGCAGTGCATCGACCGCGCGTGAGAGTGATCGTTCGCCCGAGTGACCTTTGGCAGGTGCGGGTGCGCTCGGGGTCCCCAGATGCGGGTGTTGTTAGAAGTGTCCCTGGCCCAAGGTGCCCCCAAGGCCCTCACGGCCTCGACCCCTCACGAGGCCCAGAGTGCCCCGAGGGGTCCAAGATTGAATGACAAGCTGGTGGAACCTTGGGCCAGGGGTACCTTTGCAACCCCCGACAGAAGGCTGACTGCGATGCGATAGCAGCGACGGGTGCATTCGGGTTTGGCCCCCGCCCCCCCCGCGCCCTCTGAGAGTCGCGCACCAGAGATCACTCCTGCCTGGAGCCACTCTCGCGTGCAACCGCATAGTTTTGGGAAATTGTCCTGGCGAAGGAGGAGGAGGAGGAGGAGGAGGAGGAGGAGGAGGAGGAGGAGCAGGAGGAGGAGGAGGCGGATGCGAGCGCCGCAAGGCAGGCGGGGCGACACTGGGGCAGCTCCCTATGGGGCCACGAAGCGTGTGAGGGGTGTGCCGAATCGGTGCGGGTACGCCGTGCGGCTACGAAGCGTGTGTGGGGTATGCCGAAAGGGGTGCGGTGGCGCCATGCGGACCCTGCTGCTGGGGCCTTCGGTGGAGCGCCCCATGTGACCACGAAACGTGTGAGGGTTGTGCATGCGGACCCTGCCACGTGGGCCTTCGGTGGAGCCCCCTACGGGGCCACGAACCATGTGAGGGGTGTGCCGAAATGGGTGCGGTGGCGCCATGCGGACCCTGCCACTGGGGCCTTCGGTGAAGCTCCCTATGGGGCCACGAAACGTGTGATGGGTGCGCCGAAATGGACATGGGAGGGCTGAGGCAGGAACGGAATGCCGATGGTGCTGGTGATGGTTATGGTGATGGTGATGGTGATGGTGATGCTGATGATGATGATGATGATGATGATGATGATGATGATGATGATGATGATGATGATGATGATGATGATGATGATGATGATGATGATGATGATGATGATGATGATGATGATGATGATGATGATGATGATGATGATGATGATTATGATGGTGATGATGATGAGGATGATGGTGAAGATGATGGTGAAGATGATGATGATGATGCTGCTGATGATGATGATGATGATGATGGTGATGATGATGATGATGATGATGCCGATGATGATGATGATGATGATGATGGTGGTGGTGGTGGTGGTGGTGGTGGTGGTAGTGGTGGTGGTGATGATGATGATGGTGATGATGATAATGCTGATGATGATGATGATGATGATGATGATGATGATGGTGGTGGTGGTGATGATGATGATGACGATGATGACCATGATGACGACGCGGACGTGCGGAGAGCAGAGGCAGGGATGGGAGGAGGGAGGGAGCGGGAGGAAGGAGGCAGGAGGAGAACGCGGGGCGCTGTCTCTTCGAAACGATAACCCAGCACCACAGGATGTTTGGAAACATGAGATCAAACCAAACATACAACTTCAAACTCCTGAATGTCATGGTCACGCAAGGGCACGTTTCGAAGTCGAAGTCAGACCCCAGGGCCTTGAAATCAGATTCGCTTCAGACTCGGGGGCTCGAATTGGGGCTCGCGTGGGGCTTCGCGCGGTGCTTTCGTGGGTCTCGCGTTGGGCTCGCGTGGGGCTCGCGCGGGGCTCGCGCGGAGCTCGCGCGGGGCTCGCGCGGAGCTCGCGTTGGTCTCGCCCGGGGGACTGAGATGGGCCAGTTGGCTTTGGGCGGTACTTCCTCCTTCTCCTCAGTCGTCTCTTGAATCGACACCATCCCCGTCGTCGCCTCAAGTTGCACGAGGAGTGAGGAGGAGGAGGAGGAGGGAGGACGAGGACGAGAATGAGGGTGAGGAGTGATAAGAAGGATGAGGAGCAGCAGAAGGAGGACATTGAAGAGGACGTGGATGGGAACCAGGAGGAGCAAGGCATGAAACCAATTAAGAAAGGGGCGCGGAGGAGGACGACTGCGAAGGAGGAGAAGCGAGACGAGCCGCCGATCACCAAACTACCCATCTCCGGGTGGGTAGTTTGGTTACCCCCATCTCCTGCCGAAGAGTTGCAGGTTGGGTCGAACGCTTGGCCTTTGATTTTTGTTTGCTGTCTCTGTTCCTCTATTTCGTTCCCTGCCCAGGACCGCGCGGGAGGCAAAGTCGAGAATTAGGAGCGGAGGGCGGACGGGGCAGGAGGCAGAATAAACTCGAGCTAGGGGGTGGGGAGGATAATAGATAATGGAGTCAATGAGGAGGAGGAGGAGGAGGAGGAGGAGAAGGAGGAAGGAGGATGGAGGACGAGGGAAGAGGAGGACGACGACGAACGACGAGCAGTATGGCGCAGCGGAGAGGAGGTGGCGACGAAGAGGAAGAGGAGCAGGAACAAGACAGGAATAGTCACTGAGCGGATGTCTTGATTGTTTGGTCCTGAGACGCCTGTATTGGGTTGTCGCTTATTCTGTAGGGCCGATCGTGCAACCCAGCCCATCCCCCTCACTCCCGTCCGCAACGGGGGATACTCGACGCATTACTACACATGGTTCATTTCTAATTCTTCGAAAGTTCTTTAATCCGTAAGGGCTTCGCCCCCTGCCGCCGGCCCCCTCTCTCGGAGAATGGGCCATGGAAGAGCTAAGTCATGAGGCCTTGGCGCTGTCGTGAAGCAGTATCGAAACTTCATGCGAAGCCGATTCGCAATCAGCAAAACCAACTGATCACAAGAGGGGTTACCACACCTGGCGATTGGTAAGACGTGTATGGTTTACGGGCTTGGTTACCACACCTTGCGATTAAAGGGCCGAGGGAGTTCTCGCAGTTTGGGTTACCACGCCTTGCGATGGATGTGCGTGAAGGGTGGCACCGAATTTCAGAAATGTGGCAAATCCCTGTGTTTTTGGACCCTGACCCCGCGGATCTGCGTGAGGGGTGGCACCGAATTTCAGAAATGTGGCAAATCCCATGTGTTTTTGGACCCTGACCCCGCGGATCTGCGTGAGGGGTGGCACCGAATTTCAGAAATGTGGCAAATCCCATGTGTTTTTGGACCCTGACCCCGCGGATCAGCGTGGAGGTGGCACCGAATTTCAGAAATGTGGCAAATCCCCTGTGTTTTTGGACCCTGACCCCGCGGATCTGCGTGAGGGGTGGCACCGAATTTCAGAAATGTGGCAAATCCCCTGTGTTTTTGGACCCTGACCCCGCGGATCTGCGTGAGGGGTGTCGATTTCGAGCCCCCCCAGCAATTCAGACAACGCGCCCAGGGGGTGCTGAAAGTCTTGTTTGGGCCTCCCCCCCCCTCGCGCGGTCAATCAACTAGTTACAGTAACCAGCAAGAAGTCAACTAGTTACAGTAACCAGCAAGAAGCAGAACTGTAACACTGGAAACTACAAGCTACAACTGGTACTGGAAACTGCGAACCCGCGCCTACAGCCTGGTGGCCCCACAAGGGGGCCGGCGGATTTTTGGGGGGCCCAGATCCTTTCATTTCTAATTGTGCTGTCCTGGGCCTCTTCCCGGCCACTCGGGGGCCAGGAACAACTTGAAACGAGCCCAATTTGAAACGAGCACGATTCGAAATGCACGACGTGTATGCCTGTAGTGGCGGCCACTGAATTCAAGTCAAAAGCCTCGAGGCCGACGCCTTCGGCCACGAACAGACAATGGCCGGGAGGGCCTTGGAGCCCGTGGAGCGGCCGCGCGCCTGCGCGGCCGCGAAGGCCAGCACGCGCGGGGGACGGGACGGCCGAGCGCCAGCCACAGCCTGCGAGGGGGCGCTGGCAGCACAGGCATGGCACCGTGGGGCCCGAGAGGGTGGCGAGCCCTGCCCTCGGGTCGGGCGAAAGGAGGGGATAGCCAGACACATAGGAATGTAGGAGGCATGGGTCGCGAGACACAGGATACAAGGGTACCCTTGACTTGGCAGGGTCGACCTACTAATCAGGGCCGACTGTAGACCCGATGCACTCCAACGAGGCAGCCCCAGCCCGAGATGTTCCTGCATCCTTCGGGTCGGGCGGAAGGGGGGATAGCCAAGGGGGGGGGGGTGAGAATCAGCTCGCGTAGCTGATTTTCCCGGCGCCTCCCGGCGCCGGAGGCGGCCAAGTGTCGAGGAGTGGGCCCCTCGACGGGGCCGAAACCAGCTGCATGCAGCAGGTTTCGTGGCCCCCCCTTCCCCCCCGTCCCCCCCTTTCGTCCGGCCCGATCCCCCCCGCCAGAGCAAAATAGCACGACGGAAGAGCCGCAGCCCGCAGCCGGCGGCGTCGTGCCGGCGGGCCGCCGGCCTGGCAGGCCCGGCTTCCGCGACGGCGTTCGCCCCAGGCCTCGACGGGGTGCGTCGTGCGCCCCGCTCCGCCGTGGGAGGGGCATGCCGAGCGACCGGGCGGGGGCTTCCTTCCCCCTTCCCCTGGTCGCCCCGGCAGTAGTGGGCGTCCCCTGGCCCGCGTGGCTTGCGGCGGTGGGGCGCGGGCGCGGCGCAGGCGCGTTGTCTCGAAGGGCGGAAACACATGGAGAGGAAAGGAGGACGATGAGGAGGAGGAGGAAGAGGAGGAGGAGGAGGAGGAGGAGGAGGACGAGCAGGAGAAGGAGGAGGGGGAGGAGGAAGAGGATGGTGAGGAGGAGGAGGAGGAGGAGGAGGAGGAAGAGGATGGTGAGGAGGAGGAGGAGGAGGAGGAGGAGGAGGAGGCCTCCCTCTTGAGCCGTGGCAGCCCGAGAGGCCGCCCACATCGGTGGCGGCGGCCGAGCGGTGCGCCTTCGACTACAACGGCGGCCCGGAGGCACGGCGTCGGGTCCCTGCCACTGCACGCCCCCCCCCCCTACCCAGACGTAAGAGAGACCTTTCGCGAAAGTGACCGTCTGTGCGGGCTCATCGGGATCCCCCCGTCCGCTGAGCGCGATGGATTGGCCACGCTGCGCCCCCTTACTCCGCGCACTAAAGTCCTCTCTCGAATAGGGCCACTCTTGCGTGTGGCCGATGGAGTGAGGAGGCTACCTGGAAGTCGCCCGTTTCTCGAGCGAGCTACCGCGATCGCAATCGCACCGCAGGCTATGACCGCACGCGACCCGCGGGTGGTGCAACGAGAGAGGAAGAGGAAGCTGGGAATCTGGTTGGAGGGAGGAGGGAGGGGGGGAGGAGGGCGCAGGAGGGGGAGGAGGGGCGGAGGGGAGGTGGCGAGGGGTCTGTGAATCTTGCGTGAGGGAGGAGGGAGGGGGGGAGGAGGAGGAGGAGGAGGAGGAGGAGGAGGAGGAGGAGGAGGAGGAGGAGGCGGAGGAGGAGGAGGAGGAGGAGGAGAAGGACGACGAGGACGACGAGGACGAGGAGGAGGAGGAGGAGGAGGAGGAGGGGGCAGGAGGGGTCTCCGTAGCCATTTTGGCTCTAGCCGGTGTTCCCCGCTTTCTCCGCAGCCCTTTCGCCCATGGTCGGCGGCTCGGCGGCGGCGGCAGCGGGCACGCCTTGGATGGCTGCGGGGGGCTGCCCGAGTGCGTGGCGGCCCAGCGCATTGCGTGCCGCCAACAGCGGCTCGCCGCGCTGCTCGTCGTCGCCTTCGGGATGCTCTCGATGCTGCTCTGCGCGCCCGTGCCTGTGTCGGCGAGCCAGGCTCCTGGCAAGACAGGGAGCTGGCGGCGAGGCCCGCGCTGAAGCTCCTGTCGGCCGGCGCGGCAGTGCCAGGAGCCGCGCGCAGGAGGCGAAATGCGGCTTGGCACGCGGCTCTCGCGCCAGCCGGTGGCTTCGCCGCAGCCGCGGGCGACGGGATCGCTTGGGCAGCAGCTGGCCCACGCCTTGGCGCCAGCGCTGCTGCCCCAGGGCCTTGTCGCAGTGCGGCTCTGCGTGCCGACGCCGATCTCTTCGAGCCGCAGGTGGCGCTGGCTCCTGGCACCTGGCAGGTCCTGCTCGGGGACCCAGCCGTGCAGGCCAAGGCCTTCGGGGATGGCCTGGAGGCGGGCTTGCGCCTCGCGGCCTCGCTCCCCGTGCAGGGTAATGCCGTAAACCAGGAGATTGAGGAGCAGCAGTTCGGCGTGCTCGCGAGCGCGGCGCCCGTCGTGGAGCACGTGGCCGACGTGCAGGACGACTCCGAGATCTTCGAGCTCTCGGGCGCGGAGGTCTCGGGAATGGAGAGCGTGCTGGTCGGTGTCTCTGCTGCTGGCGACGGTGCTGCCCCTCCTGGGCCCCAGACGACCTCTGCTTCAATCTCGCAATTTCCCATAGCCGCTAGGGGAGTGTATTCGCAGGGGCATGCGGCCGTGTCGCATGCGCAGGAGGGCTTGCCCATGGCGCAGTGCGGCCGCTGGATGTCGTCTCAGCTGCCACCCGATTCTGGGGAAGGCCGCCTGTTCGACCCCTGCGACGACAGCGAGCTCAGCCCAAGTTCTCGGAGCTTTGGCGGCTTCTATTCCGACTCCGACGCCTCGGAGATCTTCGGGGTCTGAGTGCCTGATTTTCATGCCGTACTTCTTATTTGTGGTTTTCAGTTTTCAGTGTGTGCTGCCAGGCTTCTATTCTCTGTATTCCTTCCTTGGTCTGGTGTGTTTCGCCCTTCTATCACGTGGTCTGGTCTTCTGGCATTCTTTTTTCGTGGGAATGGAGTGATTGCGTTGTCGGTAGTCCGTCGGTACGCAGCTGACCTCCACGATCAAGTCCTTCCTGGTGTTGCTGGGCGTTCTTATTCTTGTCGGGGGGAGGCAATTCTGGAGACTGGTGGTCTGTTTTCAGTGCTCTGTCTGGCGTTCTTTTCGGTACGGCAATCGGTGTTCGTGGCGCCTCCCACGTAGCATTATGTGGTTGTCTGGGCTATCTCACCTCGGTGTTGATCTTCCCGGACGTCTTCATCATTGCACCTTTGAGGCATGTGCGTTGCTGTCAGAAAAAAAGGGGCAGGAGGGGGAGGAGGGGGAGGAGGGGAGGAGGGGGAGGCGCCTGGGACTCTTGCCCGAGGGAGGGAGCGAGTAGGGGAGGAGGGAGGCGGCAGGCACCCAGACCTCCCACGCCGCGGGAAACTCCGGGGCGGAGCTCCTGTCCCAGCGTTCTCGCAGCCCGGCTTGAGCTCGACTGGCCCCCCGGCCGGCGGGAACAAGACGGCTCAGGATTCGGGCCGGACGAAAGGGAGGGATGGGGGAAAGGGGGGGCTACGAAATTTGCTGCGCGCAGCTGGTTTCGGCCCCGCCGAGAGGCCCATTCCTCGATACGTGGCCGCTTCCGGCGCCGGGAGGCGCCGGGAAAAGCAGCTACGTGAGCTGATTCTCACCCCCCTCCCTTTGCTATCCCCCCCTTCCGCCCGACCCGAAGGATGCAGGAACATCTCGGGCTGGGGCTGCCTCGTTGGAGTGCATCGGGTCTACAGTCGGCCCTGATTAGTAGGTCGACCCTGCCAAGTCAAGGGTGCCAGCGCTGCGTCCCCCTCCTCCCCCCCAGCATCTGCGCGCGCCCCCTTCGCCCCGACCATTTTGCATTTCGGCACGCACGGCGCCGGCGCCGTGCCCTCCTCCCTCTCTCCCAGCGCTGTGCCAGGCCCCCCTCCCCCCGTTTTGGCAGCCAGCCCCGCTCGTCCTTGCCCACCAGCCAGCGTGCCCCCTTCCGCCCCGACCATTTAGATGATTCCGGCACGCGCGGCACTGGCGCCGCGCCCCCTCCAGCAGTTGCCCCAGCTCCTATTCGCCCACCAGCCAGCGCACCCCTCCACCCCGACCAAAGTATAGTGATGGCCTTACGGCCATTGCCGCCGACCCAGAAGGACGACGACCACGACGACAACGACAACGACGAGCTTGTGACCTTGCCATAGGCTCGCCACATCGGACGGGCGGTGGAGGAGGAGGAAGAGAAGGAGGAGGAGGCGGAGGAGGAGGAGGACGGGGGGAAGAAGGGCGGCACGGGGAGGAGGAGGAAGAGGAGGAGGAGGGAGGGGGAGGAGGAAGAGGAGGAGGAGGAGGAGGAGGAATAAGAAGAATACTAAGAAACAGAAGAAGAGGAGGAGGAGGATGAGGAGGAGGAGGTGGAGGTGGTAGAGGAGGAGGAGGAGGAGGAGGAGGAGGAGGAGGAGAGGAGGAGGAGGAAGGGGAAGAGGAGGGGAGGAGAGGAGGAGGAGGGAGGAGAGAGGGGGAGGGGGAAGTAGGAGGAGGAGGAGGAGGAGGAGGAGGAGGCGGAGGAGGGGGAGGAGGAGGAGGACCAGTGCAAACCCGTCACCCACCAGCGATGTTGCAATCCACCCTCCAAGTTATATCTTCACCGTCGACTGCAAGGGCTTGTTTCACTTAGGAAAGTGCCCCGTTGGAAGGCAATCGTCTGGATATTCTTAACCGTACCAAAACCCTATTCATAGGACTTCAACGCGGCGATTCATCGTTACCGCTGCGTCCTCACAATCCTGAACCGTGCTCGAACGCTAGTCCTGTGTTCAACACCGCGGATCAGCGTGAATGTTTCGCCCTGACAGTCCTGCATCCTGCCAAAATACAATTTCTGGGACGTCAACCATAATAATCATTGAAACCGCTGTCGAATTCGCACGGCGCTAAAGCGAGAACCACATTTTCCAAACGGCCCGCCCTTCATCCGTGGAATTGTTGCAAAGTATCAGCTCCAGGACCATGCATGGTGAGGAAGCCTCATGCGAAACGCCCGATCCGCCCTACTGGCACGTCTCGGGGTACGACCGGGAGGAGTCATTCATAACGAAAAAGAGTGGCGGAGGAGGAGGAGGAGGAGGAGGAGGAGGAGGAGGACGAGGAGGAGGAGGAGGAGGCGAGGAGGAGGAGGAGGAGGAGGAGGAGGAGGTGGAGGAGGAGGGGAGGAGGAGGAGGATGGAGGAGGAGGAGGAGGAGGAGGAGGAGGAGGAGGAGGAGGAGGAGGAGGAGGAGGAGGAGGAGGAGGAGGAGGAGGAGGAGGAGGAGGAGGAGGAGGAGGAGGAGGGGGCGGAGGAGGAGGAGGAGGAGGAGGAGGAGAGGGAGGAGGAGGAGGAGGAGGAGGGGAGGAGGAGGAGGAGGAGTGGAGAGGAGGGAGCAGGAGAGAGGAGGAGGAAAGGAGGAGGAGGAGGAGGACGAGGAGGAAAAATGGGAGCAAGAGGAGCAGGAGGAGGAGGAGGAGGAGGAAGCAGAGAGGGAGGGAGGAGGACGACGAGGAGGAAAAGTGGGAGCAAGAGGAGGGGAGGAGGAGGGAGGAGGAGGAGGAGGAGGAGGAGGCGGAGGAGGAGGATGAGGAGGAGGAGTTTGGAGGAGGAGCGGGGAAGAGGAGGAGAGCAGGAGGGGAGGAGGAGGACGGGAGGAAAAATGGGAGGAGGAGGAGGAGGAGGAGGAGGAGGAGGAGGAGGAGGAGGAAGAGGAGCAGGAGGAGGACGAGGACGAGGACGAGGAGGAAAAGTGGGAGCAAGAGGAGGAGGAGGAGGATGAGGAGGAGGAGGAGGAGGAGGAGGAGGAGACAAGAAGGAGGGCCGTTTGTCTCCTTCGGGGCGCTGCTTTGGGCTGGGGCCGGGGCCAGAGCCAGGGCCCCGGGGCCGAGGCCAGGGCTGGGGCTGGTGCCCGGGCCGGGACGAGGGCTGGGTCCCGGGCGGGCCCCGGGCTGGGGCTGAGGCTGGAGAGCTCCCCAGGGAGACCACCTCGCTGTCCCCCTTGTCCGCAGGGACCGCCCGCGGTGGTGGTCCCGACCACAGGGACCTCTCCCGGGATCCGCCCCCGGGACCCCCGCTCGGACCCCTCTGTCGGGAGCCTTGAGACGGGGGTCAATGCAAACGGGGGTCAGCCAGGGCACCAGATCCTGCAGGATCCTGCGAAGACCCTCCCTGGC